GATGAGCGGGGAAGGTCTTCAGCGGGCACAGAAGGCTCAAGAGAAAAAGACAACGCACCTATAGTTGGACTTTGGTTATCACTAGACTCAATGAGAGAGCTCTGCGGCTCTGCACACTCTGTGAGCAGGTGGGAGAGTCCAGCTGGTGGGACGCTTGAATCAGCAGACAAGAGAGCAGGAGTGAGGTCTCTGGCTGCCTGGGAGATGTGCTCTTGTGGCTCATTCTGGTGGTCTGCTGATGATGGGAGCACAACACTGTCCTCCAACTCTTCTGTAGTAAAACAAATATGGTTGAATTCAACAGAAGTGGATAAGAGAGCTACATTAACATACAACATATTTCAGTGGCAGATGGCTAGTTCTCACTGAGCCTGGTTATACTAGAGGTTTCTTCCTGTTAGAAGAGTTTTTCTTCCCACGGTCGCCAAGTGCTTGCTCATAAGAGATGTTTCATTGTTGGGATTTTCTGTGTATTATTGTTAAGTTTTTCCCAAATTAAAAGGCGACCGTGGTTCAGGGGGTTGGGAGGCTCATCTTGTAACCGGATGGTTGCCGGTTCGATCCCCAGGCACACGTTGTTGTGTCCTTGGGCACAACAAGGGCAAGACATTGGGCAAGACATTTCACCTACTGGTAATGGCCAGAGGGGCCGATGGCGATGGATGGCTTGCTTGCTTCTGTCAGTCTGCCCCAGGGCAGCTGTGGCTACAACCGTGGCTCCACCAGTGTATGAATGTGAGAGTGAATGAATAGTGGTATTGTAAAGCGCTTAGAGGGTCTCAAAAAGCGCTATATAAATGCAATCCATTATTATTATATAAAGCACTTTGAGGTGACTGTTGTTCTGATTTGAACCTATATAAATGAAACTGAATATATTTCTTAAAACTGATGCATGAAAGTCACTGCACACTGATGAACAGCTGCCATACTGACTTACCAACACCAGATATCTCGCTTTCCTTCTCCTCGTGCATCGCCAGCGAGGTGTATGTCATGTCAATGGATGACATAGACAGATCCAGCCTGTCCACCAAGTCTGAAGGATCGGGGTTCATCACTGCCATTTCAGAATCAGAAAAACCTGGAAAAATCCAACAATAAAACACACATCTTAAGAAGATTTTTTGCAAACACAGCATATGCTAAGGTGACCAGAATCTTAACTGACCAAGCTCAGTGACCCTTTGAATGGGTGGAGGTAGATAAGATTCCTCGAGGGTGACCTGCTCCAGGTTCAACTCTTCACTATTGCTTGAAGGTGCCATGAGAGGTGCCTGGAGACACACGCACACGGTAAAAGTTATTGACTGGTGTCAGCTTCTCAAATGTGAGATTTTGCTGTATTTTACTGTCACCTCTGTGTATCCATGCGCAGGCAGCTTTGGAGAGTGTTTCTCCTCAACATCAGGGGCAGAAGGCTCGACTGTTGATACTTCTGGATT